AAAAAGATCGTCTTAAAGACAGAGCAATCCCAATGTGTGCACAATTAAACCAAATCACTTATAGGTCTGCTAGCTACCAGTTAACGCCACTGATTTCCTCATCTGTTTCTCCCCAAGTACAATGTCAAATTCTGAGACCTTAAAGCCACATACATGGATAACAGAAACTGGAGGTTGGAAGGAAGGTTTCTGTGAAAACATAAGCCATACCCAAGAAGCCAGTTCAACAGTTCTGAAGTTTGTGACTCTTTTCTCCAGTTGCCTCACCCTAAATTTCTTGTCACTTTGTTCCACTGCTCAATATGTTTTTATACATTTGAAGTAACAAGGCAACAGGTGCCAGTGAAAACAATGCTTTTGCTCTAACCTCCTGAAATTTCAACCTGACTCTTGTACCCATGCCAATAGAAAACCTCAGACGTCCTTTAACAGAGGCAAACGGTCACCTTGATATTCTAAACCCAAGGAAAGGTCGGTTTTTATAACAAGTTCAAATATGAGTTAGTATAAATAAATCAACAGAGATATTGTTAAATGTTTGTGAATTTTTTAAAAAAGGAGAAAAATCTACTCCAAAAACGTTAATTCACTAAAGTCTTGTGAGTCAAAGCATGCTCAATAGACCAACAGTATCAGTACCGACTGGGAGCTTTTGGAAATGTAGAAAAATTCAAGCCCCAACCAAATCCATCAAATAAGAACTGTATTTTAACAAGCTCCCATCCAATCTGTATGACACTTAAGTTTGAGAAGCACTGTATATATATAGCCTTAGTATACAATAATCGAAAGAAGACACAACTGGAACACCACTGCCAACAGCTGCCAAATAAGAGAAAGAGCTGCATGCAGTTTCCACTCCAACACCACACTTTCTGCTTCTCTGGGTACTGTGCACATCAAATAATACAAGGAATCCAACCCTCCACCCCCATGCTCCAAGGATCTAAAAAACATAAATTTAAAAATGTATTATAACCTAGATGTCATCTCTAGATGTCACAAAAACGTAACAGAACAAGATACAGAGCAAGGGTGTCTAATCTTTTTGCTTCCCTGAGCCACACTGGAAGAATAAGAATTGTCTTGGCCCACACATAAAATACACTAACACTAATAATAGTTGATGAGCTTTAAAAAAAATACAAAAAAAGCTGATAATGTTTAAAGAAAGTTTACAGATTTGTGTTGGGCCACATTCAAAGCTGACCTGAGCTGCACGCTGGGCTGTGGGCCATGGGTTGGACAAGCTTGATACAGAGGAAAGGAAAGTGTGAGGTAAACTCGAAATCAGACAAACTAGATTTGTACCCTAGATTCTGACACTTAGTAGCTATGACCCTAAGTAAATCCTCTAATCTCTCTAAACTCAATTTTCTGATGTGTGGAATGGGAAAATGTCATCCAATTCATATAGTCGTTATGAGTTGAAGTGAGATAAAGAATGTGATAGCATTTTTAACAGCGTCAAACTGTAATTAGAAATTAGACGTGTTTCTGTGGTTTTGAGATGGGGGGTGGATGCCAGAGTAAGTATGGCCCAATATTTATTGTAAGACATACTAAAAGATGATTTGTGGTTTACATGAAATTTAATTGGGCATCCATATTTTTATTTGCTAAATCTGGCAACTCTATAAAAACTCAAATTTTGGCTAATTTTAAATATATTCTTTCTTCCCTTCTCTGTTGAATTTGCCATCTTCAGCTCATTTACAGAATTTGTGGTGATCTACAACCGCTATCTAGAAAAACATTTACCATTGATCAATGCATGACAGTATAAACTATCATTTTCAGTAAAAGAGTTAGGAAGATCAGCACAAGTCTGTATTCACATATTGTTTTTTCCTACCAACGAATTATTCAAGAGTACACTACTACATCAGCAGATGTCATTTAACAGAGAAGATGCTACACTTGCTTGTGCAGGCTATTACAAAACCACTAGGCACTATTACTTGAAAGAAAAATAAATAAAGTACACTCTTGAACAACAGAGTTGCTTAAGAAAGCTAAAGGAATGAAAAGTGGGAGCTAAAAATGCAAATAACAACAGATCATTCTCCTGGGTTATCAACTCTTGCCCATAAGTCAAATTCCTTGTAAATAGATTTTATGGGGTCAGAAATTTTCTAGGGCCTATTAAAAAAAAAAAAAAAAAAAAGCTGTAGCTAAAAAAATAAGAAACTAACCCTTTCAAAAATACAATTACATCTATTTTTGTGAGTGACATATCTTATGAGGTTTTAGCAACTAGTGCTTTTTCTTAATGAAACCAGACAATAATGTAAAAAATCTTCCTAAAGTGTGTTATCAGAGAAATAACTATTTGAGTTAGATTTTAGAAACCAATGTGAAATGTTTTCATCAAACTATATAAAAGAGACTATAACAATGGGATTTTTTTTGGGCAAAGTAGAAAAGTATTTTAACTTTTAACAACACAGGGACTCTGGTCTTAACCCATTTATGCCTAGTGTTTATTATCGGAACGCTAAGCTTGTGGGAGTTATTTACATCCTGCTGCTGTCTTAACCCATTTATGCCTAGTGTTCTATTATCGGAACGCTAAGCTTGTGGGAGTTATTTACATCCTGCTGCTCAAGGTCATCACGGAGATCTGATTTTTCACACACACAAAAAATGTGCAACCTCTGGCATAAATGGGTTAATGAAGTTGGTAGGAACTATCACACACATTCCAAACATTTGTTTTAAAAACAAGTCTACAATGGTAACTGATAATTAAAACATAGATATTAATAATATCGAGCTCAATTTTAGACCTAAGTGTTAATGAGAATAAAGAGATGGCATTTATAGCTCTCACCTCTGAATGACCGTTAGCCAAAAGAAGAATTCTGAACCAAATCATATATTTTCATCTATACATGGAATAATTTCTTTGTATTCATTCTCTGGTGCTAATGTCATTGAACAGGAAATAAAAAGATGTGTATGTCTGAAGATAGAAAATGTGAGTCTTTGGTCAGTATCACTCTAAATAAAATCTCACTACTCTGTACTGAATGCAAAGGAAGACAGAGGAGAGCAAGGGAAGAAGACAAGGGAGAGGAGAGGAATAAAAATAAACCTCTACAAAATAGAAATGTTTAGTAGAGACACTAAAATACAAATACTACAGCTAAGCATCACTATTGACACAAAACAAGTGGTTAAAATAAACACTGACAGGTTAAGTATCTTGCCCAAGGTCATATAATGAAGTCACCCAAACAATCCAGTATCAAAGCAGTAATAAATTATACTCTCTTTATGACCTATTCAACTGGACTTGGCAAAACCATAATTAAAATGGTAAAATGTTTCTATCTAGAAAAAAAAACTGCACTAAATCATAATCTGGAATGAAGAGAGACTTGAAACTTAGCATACTGCAGCTAAGATGATCTTTGCCACTGAAAAAACAATGACTATTTTATTTTGTATTCCTTGGAAAATAAACTTATTTAGAAATAAGTATGATTTAATGGCATTTGCTGCTGGGTAAAAGTTAACTAAAATAAACCAGCTAACAATATTATAATATAACCTGTAACTCAGTGAATTATGTATAAACCAATGGCTTCACGGTCAAATTCTTCTGAAGCTTTTCCCAGGGTTTCATTTAGAGAGACTGAGAGCAAAACCAGTCATGCAAAGGACGAACTACGGGACAAATGGTAAAACTTCCCACTAAAATATGAGTCAGCTTAAAGCTTCAGTTAGAGATGAAAGTTCTCGAAACACAAGGCAAAACACTTCTGAAATTTTTCTGCTAAAACTCAACTACTTTCAGATTGTGTCATAATTGGAATTACTTAAGTGGTACCCACACTGTTTTACTACAATACGTGGAGAAAACGTAGAAATGGGAAAATCTATTTTTTAAATGCAGCATTTGTGTTTGCTATTTTTATGACAAACACTGTAAGATTTCTTCTGTAACGAATACAGCTTTCTCAAAATAGGGGAGGTCACAAATTTTTTTCAATTTGTTTTCTTTTTTGGGAGGCTAACTCTTTAACACTTATCCCAGTGTAACTCATATGCTAGCTGTTGACAGTCAAAGAGGTGCTTTTATAAACAGCAAATACACACACACACACACACACACATATATACACACACACGCATATGTAACCACTATTATTATTAGGTAGTTGCTAGGTAAAACACATATGCTATTAACAGGCTCATTTCTGAATCCTATCAAAAATCCTCACGCTTTATATTGACATGGCTCATATGCAAAATAAGTAACTTTTTAAATGCAGGTTTGATTGTTTTGTGCTGTTTCTCTTACTATTTACTTACTAATGAAGATGGGCAAGTTACTTAATGGTCTCTGCACTTGTGCTTTTTCACCTAAAAAATCCAAATAATAAATCTCTCTTCATAGTTGCTAAGATCAACTGAAACAAAGTATGTTCTGCTACAGTGCCTCTGGCACATATAAATAGCAGTAATGGTTGTTGTTTTGTTATCACTAGGTTCCACCACCCAGCAGAATCACAAAAAAGAAACCAAAATTTAAAGGATGTGGGCGTGTATGTGTCTGAAAGTTTGTCTCAGTAAATAATTCAAGGTTTCTTCTATAAAGCCATAGACAGGTGTGACTTTCCCACCATCATTTTTGCTGCACTTTATTTACCCTGTTTAATAGCCAGAATGTCTCTATTGAATGTTGAATTAAATTAACGCAATGTTTTCCCCTCCTCTTTCCTCTGATGGCTCTTTTCATCTCCACTTCTCTCTCAGTCAAAACCTGGCCATCTGGTTCTTGCTCTCTGACTACTCACACCACCTTTTCAAAGCACAAAAATCTGAACCTACTCTTCTGATAAACCCAATACTCTTGACATTTTATACTCACAGCCAGATTCCTAGACAGACATCTCTCTCCTGAAATACGTTCAGTTCCTATAAGAATTCAAGATAATGTTCACAAACCATGCTCAACCACATAATCTTTGTTTTAGTGCAAGCATACTGACCTTGAGGTGAGACTGAAGGAAACAGCAAATCCAGGAAGAAAATGTGAAAAAGAAAGTTAGAAAGAATTAATAAGGACAATATTCAGAAATATTATTCGTGGACATTATAAAATGCAGGATTAGAGAAGGGAAGGAGTCACAAATTCTATGCAGGCACTAAAAAAGAATCATTTCAGATTTTCAACTCTCAACAACTTTACTTTCTTATTAGATTACACCATTGTAGTTTAATGAAAGTTTCTAAAGAAAAAAAAATTTGTCTAAAATTTACCATTTCCTGGGGCAGGAAAGAAACATCATTTCTTAAACACTAAGAAAAATAGAGAAAGTCAGCCATCCCATTCTCATTTCAGTAGTTAGAACTGGCATTAAGTAACTGCACAATTTTAGTGTGCTTAGTTTTATAGACACGCACCTTATAACTAACTGTGCCTTAATGTCCCCATTCCATTAAGAGGATCCAAGTGACCCAAAAGCAAAAGCAGAAAAACACAGTTTCTGTGGAATATAGAACTCTACTCGGAAGAACTTTAAATAATTTTCTCAAAGGTTAAAACATAATTTTCTCCTAATAATAACCAGTATTTCTCACTCCAAATCTACCAAAATCCTCAAATGGTGCAATCTAAAAGCAATAAAGAACAAGAATGCACAGGTCTGTTTATATCAATTCATTTCCAATGCTGCTTAGCAGTAGGAGATTTAAAGCAGTCATGCTTAATGTTCCAGCAGAGCATGTAGCCCTTACAGTTCATGATTGCCTTTTATAACAAGCAGTTTTTTTTTTCTTTTTTAAAAAGTAATCAGTTTCACTGAAATTAGTATGATCCTCCAAATAGTCAGGGCTTCCAATGACCAGTATCATCTGGATTATCTTCATGGTCTAAATTTTACCTTAAGAATCTGAAACAAAATATTTATTTCTTGAAAGCAAGCACCATTTCCAATTATACTTTAATGTCTTCTAAAACTTAGTGATTTCTTGCACAAGTATAATTCGGTATCTAAAAGTTTTAAAAACTCATTGTGAGAATAAAAAAAGATAAGGGGGACAAGATTTGTTACCTTATAACATGAACAGATGAAAAACAGAAACACAACGACTTGCTCACAATCACATGGTGTGTGACTGGCAGATACAGAGTAAGAATGTAGCAGCTGGGCAGTGGGGGCGGGGGTAAGCTCACGCATGTAACCCCAGCACTTCGGGAGGCCGAGGCATGCAGATCACCTGAGGTCAGGAGTTCGAGACCAGCCTAGCCAACATGGTGAAACCCCATCTCTACTAAAAATACAAAAATTAGCCAGGCGTGGTGGCACATGCCTATAGTCCCAGGTACTCAGGAGGCTGAGGCACAAGAATCGGTTGAACCCAGGAGGTGGAGGTTGCAGTGAGCCAAAATTGTGCCACTGCACTCCAGCCTGGACAACACAGCGAGACTCCGTCTCAACAAGAGTGAGAATGTAGGTCTGCTGACATCTCACCTGGGCACAATTTGTATGTTTGATGATGCTTCCTCAGGAATCTATAAAACTCCATGAACCTTTAGCATCTATAATGCAGTGTAAAATGCAGACAATGTTCAAAATGTTCAAAGGCAGAAAGAAGCCAATCTCTAAATGATTGTTCCCAGTGATCCTTTTTATTTCATTGGTCGTGACATAGGAAGTCAAAACAGTTTTAGATGAACAAGAACATTAACTGAATCTCCTTTGTAAGCAAGTTTTTATATAACACATGGGTAAATCCATGGGAAAAAACTGAATGTATTCCTGCCAGAGAGCAACTTTAATTATTTAATTTTTACCTACTTTATTATTCACGAATCATATTTCACTTTAACATCAAATTACAACTCTTTTTTTTTTTTCCTTTTTGAGACAGGGTTTCACCTGCCACCTAGGCTAGAGTGCAGGGGCACAATCTCCGCTCACTGCAAACTCTACTTCCCAGACTCAAGTGATCCTCCCACCTCAGCCTCCCAAATAGCTGAGACTATAGGCATATACCACCACACCTGGCTGATTTTTGTATTTTTTGTAGAGACGAGGTTTCACCATGTGCCCAAGCTGGTCTCAAACTCCTGGGCTCAAGCAATCCACCCACCTTGACCTCCCAAAGTGCTAGGATTACAGGCACGAGCCACCACGTCCAGCTAAACTATAACTCTTGGGAAATAACTTTAGGAGAAAAAATCTGTACATCGAATTACATGTAATCCTAATGTTTATACTTTTAGGTAAAACATTACAGTAGCCATTAAACCCAGATTTCTATAAGACCACAGTAACAAATTATAAGGTGCTGTGCCCACAAGAAACTTGGCGAAGACAACCTAACAGAATGACTACAAAAAGCTTTGTAACTTACTCTCCTTTCACAGGAAATCTATGATACTTATCAAGGAGGAAGAAGAAAGAAACCAGCAGCTTCCCCAGAAAGCAAGCTGAAGCAAGCAGGATCAGATAAAAAACCAGTCACCTTCAGTTGTAATATGCTGGCATCTTTCTTTTCCTTTTCAGTTTTTTCATTTTTTAAACACAGACCATCCTCCCTCAAGCAATAACACACATTATATAATTACTCTGAGCCACCATTCGCAGCCCCAGTCATCTCTCTTCCACTCTAACCACGTTAAGAGCATATTCTCTGACACTATACTTCATGGATTGAAGATGCGTATCCATAAATTTAAAAGGAAGAATATTTTTCTCTAAAGAGACACTTCCCTCATGAATTATGTAGCATTTTATGTCAAACTCGCATACGCCTTAATTTCTATATGGTAGATCTTTGAAGACATTGTAAATGAGTATCAATTTAAGATTTAAGGAAAAATATTTACAAGAGTAAAGACTAAATACCTAGGTTTACATTTTCGGGTTACACTATGCAATAGATGCCTGAATATAATGTGATACTAACATAAATTAATATCATAAAGCCCATTTTCCCAATGAGATGGTCCAAAAGAAACCATTTTGGGTCAACCTAATAAACTCAGGATATAGGTAAACCAGTCAAATATCTAATTTACAATTTACACTAGTAAATACATTCATTTGGTTACTACACATACATTTAAAATGAAATATATGACAAAATAATATTAATTAAGAAATACTATTTTCTCCTACTCCCACATTCAACTAAACAATTTTATTCACTCTCTTTGAATGTATTCTTAACATCAATTCACCAAGGATAGAAGATGCATCATAGTAAAAACTATTTTATATTACTGAGAAAGAAAAAAAGTTATACCAATTAGATTATACCATGCCATTTACTTGTATGTGTATCCAAATTTCAGAGATGTTAAAATACAAACATAAGGTCAGAACTGGCATTTCATTGTGACAAAAAGGAGAAAGGGAAAGTTATCTACACTTTTGTTTAATCTACCAATCTAAAAGTAATTAGACTGAATTACATTAAATTGTATAAGAATATTTTAGGCATATGAATGTACTTACATTTTTACAGAAGGAAAAGCATGTGTAAATATATATGTATGAATATATAAACATGTACATGTGTAAACATACTATGTACATATGAAAGAAACAAAAATATTTTCAATATAATATCAAGGTATGGGAGACTACTGAATCTATCTTTTGAATTTCCAAAGGTCTGAATATTATGGGTAATGCTAAGACAAGGAAATATGGGCCAGGCGCAGTGGCTCATGCCTGTAATCCCAGCACTTTAGGAGTCCAAGGCGGGCGGATCACGAGGTCAGGAGATCGAGACCATCCTGGCTAACATGGTGAAACTCCGTCTCTACTAAAAATACAAAAAATTAGCCAGGCGTGGTGGCGGCTGACTGTAGTCCCAGCTACTCGGGAAGCTAAGACAGGAGAATGGCAGGAGAATGGCGTGAACCCGGGAGGTGGAGCTTGCAGTGAGCCAAGATTGTGTCACTGCACTCCAGCCTGGGCGACAGAGCGAGACTCCGCCTCTGTGAGATGATTAGACAGCAGAATGAGGAAAGAGTACTACTTCTCTTTTTTAACATATACACATTGGTCTCTCAATAATGTACAGTCACAGCACAGACTGTGATAGCTACTATTGGAAAAGCACAAGTAAAGGAAAGAGAGATTACTAGTGAAAGGAGGTCAGTAAAGTTCTCTTTTTGGAAAAAAGTAACAGTTAAAATAGGTCAGATTCCCACAAACAAATAAAGAGAACAAAACTTTTAGTCAAAGAGAAAAGAATAAGAAAAGGCAGATAAGAAAAAAGCATTCATCTAAAAAATTCGACTTCTATTTTCAAGAAAACAGCAAATTCTTCTCAGACTATCAAGCCAACAATTGGTAATATCATTCTATAAACTAGTTCAAGTTTGCCAACACATTTTACAAGATTTATGAAAGACAAAACCCTCCATTTTCATTGTATAAAAATTTTAGAAACTACTTGTAAAATCTTTAAAAGAAAATTTAAAAACTCAAAAGGCAATAATCTTTAGGCATTAAGTTGAAGCCTAGCAGCTATTTTCCCAAATGCCATCAGAAAGGTTCTTTCTCTTACACATACACATGTGCAAATAACACGCCCAGATTAAAAATCACTACTGGCATGACAAGAAAATGACCTCATTCTTTGTGTTAAAAAAAAAAAAAAAAGTTATGTAATCTGTTCATAAAATTTGGGCTAATCTTGTTCATTTTTGTTTTTAATCAAGGTTGTTCTTAGTATGCTCAGAATTTAGCCCAAATCCTATGAACAGATTATGTAACTTTTTTTTTTTTTTTTTTTGAGATGGGAGTTTCATTCCTGTTGCCCAGGCTGGAGTGCAATGGCATGGTCTCAGCTCACTGCAACCTCTGCCTCTCAGGTTCAAGCAATTCTCATGCCTCAGCCTCCCAAGTGGCTGGGATTACAGGTGCCTGCCACTACGCCCGGCTAATTTTTTTTTTTTTTTTTTTTTTTTAGTAGAGACAGGGTTTCACCATGTTGGTCAGGCTGGTCTCGAACTCCTGACCATAAATGAGCCACCCGC